CAGGAAAATGGATACATATTGGGGATATACTCCTAAGTGAAATAAATGAGTCACACATGTGTAAATACCGAATAGTTTCTCTGGTGTGAATAAACCATAATAGTACATAAGATCCTAATGAGATAACTGACATTGTGAAATGGGAAGCAAGGGGCTAAAGGTGTAGGGAAAGTGGGAAGGGTAGGGGAAAGGTAATAAAGGAAAAAAAATATGAGAAAATGGATATAGTGTTTGTGAATGGGGAGGGGAGGAGGGGATGAAGGGAGGGCAGGGACAAGGGGAAAAAATGAGAACCAAGACCTGTCATGTAAAGGTACAAGATCCCAATAATGAATGTAACTACTGTATACCTAAAATGTACTAATAAGCTCAATAAAAGAAAAAAAAATACTGAAGGTGGAGAAGAGAGATCGTGATGCATACGCTTTGTGGGAATGGAATTTGATAGAGTGACCATAGCAAACATTATGGAGTTTCCTGTCCAAATTAAAATCAAAAGCACCATAATATCAGTAATTCTGATATATACTTCTGTGTATATATCCAAAGGAAATGAATACTTTTCAAATATATATGCACCCTTAGATTAACTACAGCCCTATGCCTAATTGTCACATTATGAAAACAACCTAAGTGTCTATCAACAGACAAATGAATATGAAAATATGGTGCATATGTTCATGATGGAATATTATTCAGTCTTAATAAAAAAGAAATCTTGTCAGTTGGAACAAAAGTTTTGAACTTTCAGAACATCATTCTAGTTAAATAAGTCAGCCACAAAAACACAAACATATATGTTACAAATTAGGAGCTAAAAGTTGAACTCACAGAAGCAGAAAGAAAGGCATGATTTGTCAGGAACAGGTGAGCAGATGAAATTAAGACATTTTGATATAATTATATAAACAAATTTTCTGTTACATAAAATATTCTGGGGAGCTATTGTATATAATGAGTGGTGATGGAAATATTAATTAATCTGATTATGGTGATATTATATATGAATTAACTTATGTACACCTTGCATAGACAAAAATTACATCAACAAAATTAATTATTTATAGTTATTCAAATAAAAATTATCTAAAATTTTGTATACATGATGAAATAATTCACTTTATGAATAAATTGAAATTATAACTACAAATATAGGAAAATACTTACATGGACGGAAATTTACAGAAACAGTACACTTTTCATGTGGGTACAAAATCCCAGTCTGTTCACTAAAAATGAATATGCCATTTTTACAAAGTTTGCCAGTATTACTAAGATCAAATATCCATCGAACCTCTTGTTCTGAAATATTATGTATTATAAGATCCTGTTTAAACAAAAAGAAGAACTTTTAGAAAATATATGCAGCACGTATTACCATATCATTGTAATTGGTATATGCGAAACTCACATGATTAAAAATGTAATCATTGATAAAAAGTTTTCAAAGTAATGTTAGACAAGGGGTATGAAACTATGTTTAGACAATATTAGCAACTATGAGAAATACACAAATTAGAAAAACACAAAAGGTAAAAACTGAATAAATTAAAAATATAATATAGCTATGGTATCTAACAAGAATGCAAAAAATTCTCATTCATTAATGGTATGAATACAAAATGATACAGTCAGTTTTGAAGAGAGTTGGGCTTTTCTTGTATCATACATATCATCATCATATACACATATATCATAACATGTTAATCATATGACTACCATATAATTCTGCAATCTAATCTTAATACTTAAATATCTTCTTACTTAAATATGTAATAATGATTTTGAATAATAATATATTAGTTAAATATTTACTTAAATAACTAATCTTAAATGTTTACTTTGGAAAGTAAAAAACATGTTTGCACAAAAACCTTTATAGGAATCTTCATAACTGTTTTGTTTATAATCATTAAATACTAGAAGAAAAACAGAGTAAGATTTCCTGAAGCTATTGATGGATACATGAACTATAGTGTGTGTATATATTTTGGAATAAAATTGACTGATAAATGAAATATTAATATAAAATTGTGTATAGTTTAAATATATTTTAAAATTTAAAGATGTCAGATTCAAATAACTACAAATTAAATTTACCTATGATTGTAGAAATGCAAAATTATAAGGTTAAAAAATAGCGGTCACCTTGAGTTAATGGAGCATATTTTACTACAATAGGGTCACAATGGAATTTTTGTATGATAAAACTGTTCTGCATGCACTGAAGTGACAGATATATTATTCTGTGTATTTTTCAAAACTCAGAGATCTGCATACTGCAAAATTGATCTTAACTCTATGTGAACCAAATGCAATCAATGTAGATGTTACAGATCCTAAGATAGATTGCAGATCATAACAAACCGCATCAGGAATGTATAGTTCACAGAGTCGTGGAGAAGAACTGACCTAAGAAATTTTGCAAAAATTTTTTTGTTTTGTTCTTTGAGGCAGGGTCTCACTATTTACGTCAGACTGGCCTTGATCTCACTATGTAGCTCGAACTGGCCTCGAACTCCAGGCAAGACTCCTGCTTCAGCATCCCAAATGCTGAGATTACAGGCATGTGCCACCACACCTGGCTTGGAAATCTGTCCTTTAACTGAAAATCATAAAGCTCAAATAAAAGAGCTACAAATATAAACACAGTACTCTATATGGTAAATGTGTTAGCAATTCTAATGTGTTACAGGTTAGCAATTTTGACACTTCTTGATTTTTACAACAGAGTAAAATATAAATAATTGTATTAAAAATAGTCACAGGCAGATTTCTGATTATTAAAGAGAGGAATTAAAAAATGAATAAAGGAGAAAAACTGAAATGAACCTTGCAGTGATGAATTAGAAATGCCAGTTTGAACTGACATGTAGTTAAACACAGAAAAAAGAGGGAAGAAAGGGAGGGAAAGGAAGGAGGGACGGAGAGGGGGAAGAGAGAAAGAGAATAAGAATGTGTGCACATGGCTTACTATACATATAAATTTTTCCTGGCTCTATTTGCTGAAAGAGTGTAGTGTCCTTGATATCTCAAAAGCAACTAGCAAATCATATCATGATTTGTAAATATCACTCTACTATGAAAGAAACTATAGTTTCTTAGGAAAACTTGTGTTTCTAAGAGCCACTAAAATATAAGATTAATTTATATAATCTTATAAGATTAACATTTGATAGTGTTGTAAAGAAGAATGCTGGAAATTACAATGAAGGAGCATATAAAAAGAGAATCTAAAATTCTCCTAACGGTCAAAGCTAGAACACGTTTAGTAACAAAAAATAACATAATATTAGATTATAACAATATAAAATAAATTTTATATGTGAATTCACATTGAAATCTTAGGCAATAAAATAAATAGGAGAAAGGAATAATCTTTCTTACAGAAAAATTACAAGTAATATATCTTCTGTTCCCTGAGTGCCCATACAAATTGATCACTCATTTTCAAAGTGCACAGCACAGAAAGAGAAAAACAGTAACCTTATAGGGAAGAACCCCAGCAGAAGGACCAGGGATTTAAATTAATGGCACCACACCTGCCTCATAAGTGCAAGGTCTTGAGTTCGATCCCCAGTACCAGGAAAAAAAAACAAAAAAAAAAAACAAAAGAGTAAAATCTCAGCAGATTTAACTAGTGATGAGTCATTTTGCTATCATGTACTTTCTTCGTGTGATGTAATAAAAAGGACATTTCACCTTTGTGACATTTTCCCCCAAAATGCATGTGAAATAAGAACTCATTGTACTCAGATGGAAAGTATAAAAAACTCATGGAATGTTCTGGAAAATGCCTTGGAGAAAACCTGTAAAACTGTCAAGCTCATAAAATATTAGGAAGATTAAGAGTAGGTCATTTATCAGAGAAGACTAAATAAACAGAATTTGGTGTCCAGTATTGGATGCTGAGAAATTGAAAGAATGCTAATTAAAAACAGATAAAGCTTACTGTTTAGTTAATACTATTATTCCAATATTAATTTATAAGCTTGGAAATGGTTCTATGGTTGTATATAGTGTTTACAATACAGAAATAAGTGAAAAGAATATAAAAACTCACTATACTGTCTTTGTAAAGTTTTACATTTATGTATGTATTTTTATGCTTTAATACAAGGAGATATTAATAAAGAAAATATAAAAACTTATTTCTATGAAAAAATGAAACAAAATTTCATAAAATAACTGGAGAATAAAAATGGCTAATATACTGTGCATCATGATCCGAAAATATAACCAAAATGTTAGAGAAAAAAGCTTTTCTTAAAAAAAACAAATGAAACTAATAGTTTTTCACATCAGGGAAACTATTCGATATTTACACATATAATCTACCAATAAACTCAATGAGAGAGAGAAAAAAGAAATTAATAGTATAAATGAAACAAACTGGCATTTATATTAAAATATTTTTGAAAGAACAGATAATTTGGGGAGGTACTGAATTTTTCCCTACTTTTTACTTATCAATCTTCTATTTTGGTTTTATTAGATACACACATGTACGTGTATTACATGTATGCATCAAATGTCATATAAAATATATACATATATCTGAGTTTTTCACATGCAAGAAACCATGCAATGCTTACACTTGTGTCTGACATATTTCACGTAACAATACATTCTCAAGTTGACTCCATTTGCCTACTAATGTCTCAAGTTTATCTTTATGGCAAGGTAGTACTCCATAGTGAACAAATACCACACTTTCTTTAACCATTAACCTGTTAATGGACAAATACAGTTTCCATGATCTAGCTATCAAAAATTGTGCTGCTATAAACATGGGTACACATATATCCCTGTGATATAATGATTTTTAACTTTTTTAGGAAGGTACTCAGAGGATAGCTGAATCAAATGGAATCCCTATTTTTAATTTTTTGAGGAATTTCCACACAAATTTCCATAGAATACTAGTTTACATTCCCTCCAACAATGTAGAAGAGTTCCTTTTTCCCTACATCTTCAATATCATTTGTTATTATTTGATTTTTTTATGATAACCATTCTTTTGAGGGTTAGATGGTATCTCACTGTAGTTTTAAATTGCATCTCTCTAGTGGCCAAGAATGCTGAACATTTTTCACGTGTTTATTGGCCATTTGTACTTCTGAGATGTGTGCCTTCATTGCAGTGGCCTATTGTTTGATTGGTTGTTTTATTAGGGGGGGGCTAAATTTTTGACCCATTTTTTACCAATTTTCCTCTGTCTGATGAATAGCTACAATGACAATTTTTTGTTCCCATTCTGTACGTTGTCTCTTCACTCTGTTGGTTGGTTGCTGTTCAGAAGCTTTTTAATTTGATATGATCCCCTTTGTTGATTCTCAGCCTTATCTCTTTCTCCTCTGGAGTTCTCTTCATGAGTTTTTGCCTGTAACTATGTTTTTAAGCATTTTATCTATTTTATCTTCCAGCATATTAAGTATTTTTATTTTGACATTTATATCTTTGATCCATTTTAAGTTTAGTACATGATGAGATTATATGGGTCTAGATCCAATCTTCTGCATGTAGATATCAAGTTTTCCAAATACCATTTATTAAAGAGGCTATTTTCCCCTCCAAGACATGTATTTTGCCCCCTTGTGAAAGATAAAATAGCTGAATGTGCTCGGTGTTGTTTCTGCTTCTTCTATTCTGTTCCATTGAAGCAATGTTTTAATAAATCTGGGAGTTATGGAATGACTCAAAAGTAGACCCATCTTTTCAAAGCAACATTCTACTAGAGTAATACTGTTGACTAGGTTTGTAAATTAATTTTATTCTTCAAAAACTTGAAGAGTAAATAAAAATATCATATAATTCTCACTACAAGATTACATACTTCATTTCTGCCTAACACATCATCAATTCAAATACTTTAGATAAAATAATGGACAAATATTACTCCTAATGCCTTTAAGGTCTTAAGCATCTAATTCCATTTGTATACCTTAACTATACAAGGTTAATTTACATGTTAAGGTAAACAAAATCTTTGGATACAGTAGTTAGGCACAAAATCACACTAGTATTTAAATGCCTAATTTATGTCATTCTAAATAAAAGTTATAATATCTCTTACCCTGAATTTGACGTCAAGCACTGCAAACAAATAAAAACTACATTTTAAATTGTTTAGTATTGTAATTTCAATAACATTTGTCAAAAGGATACACGGACATAGCTTACACACAAAAAATTTAAAAATATTTATAAAAATGCTGGCCTCCTCAACCCCTTATCAACAGATTTACTCTTCAGAAGAAACTGATTTTATCCAATTTACATTTGGATTTCTATCTACTATATTCTTAGTTTAAATGTTTTTCTGATACAGTTTGTGTTTTATTGATGCCATTAATATATTGTCACAAACTCAGTGGTTTAAAGAAACATAAATTTTTATATTACAATTTTTAGGTTAAAAGAATCACTTGACCAAGATGAAGGTGTTGGTAGGAACTATGTTCCTTTCTAAAGGCTCTAGAGAATAGTCCCTTTAACTCCCTTTCTAAGTAGTTAGCTTTAACTTTCTAAGTAGTTAGTTTCTAAGCAGCAAAAGGAAAGCTTTAACTTGGTTGTTGGTCTTCTTCCTCTGTCTTCAATGCCCACAAACACTCTCACCCTTCTGCTGTCACCTCTCCCTCTGACCAAAGTTGGGAAAAGTTTTCTGCTTTTAATCTCTCATGACTATATTCAAATCATCTGGAAAATCCAGGATAATATCCCCACTCTCAAGGCCCTTACCGGTAATCACGTCACAAAACTATCTTTTGTACTACAAGTCAATGTATTTACAAACTCATTGGGAACCATTACTATGTCTACTAAAAGGTTATTACATGGTTATCAGCTTCAGATACGACTGCCCATTAGGAAAGATGAGGATTTAGCCCATTTGCCATACCTCCACTCCTCATCTCCTATGTTTAGATGTTTGTGTTATTTTAATTCTTCCACAAGGCATCTGGTAACTCAAAGAAATATATATCTATAGTTCTTTTCTGTCACCTTTAGATACTACGTTATCCACTACGTAAGTTTCAATTCTTTTTCTTCCACCACCATTTCCAACTCTTTTGTCAGCTTAACCTTGAAATATATATTATACATATCACATATATGTCATTTTACAAGTGACAAGTTATAGATTACTTTTAATTCTACTGCAAAAACATAGTAAGTCTTCCCTGTATTATATGTCTTTTTATGGCTGTGTAAATATTAAAGGAAACAAAAGAAGTGCACGGAAGTCACATTTTCATCTTCAAGGAGCCAATGTTGTTCCTTTGCCACTCAAAAAGGGGGGGTGTGCTATTTGTGAATAGTTTTTTCCTGACCTAAATTGAATAAAATATCAAAAATGTAAAATAATCGTGGGCCGGGGATTTAGCTGAGTGGTTCCGCTGCCTGCCTTGCAATCGCAAGGACCCGAGTTTGATGCCTGGTACCCACCCCCGCCAAAAAAGTAAAATAATCTTACATTTTTGAAAGTATTTTTAAAATGTGAAATTCAATTCACTAAAATTTTCTTTCCAGCCCCACATACAAGGTCTTTTACATCTTTAACGTTCTATAGGAAGTCTTACTTTTTATGCTCTAAATAATCTATTTTTTTTTCTAAATATTGCTTTTTTTTCAGCTTTAATTGAGTTTATTGGTACATTTTAGGGATACAGTACAGTTACATTCATTGTTGGGATCTTGTACCTCTACATGACAGGTCTTGGTTCTCATTTTTTCCCCTTGTCTCTGCTCTCCCTTCACCCCCTCCTCCCCTCCCGATCTACAAACACTTTATTTTCATCTTTTCATTATCTCGCATTTTTTTCTTTTCCCTTTTTAACCCTTCCCCTGCCCATCCCACCTTCCCTACACCTTTAGCTCCTTTCTTCCCATTTCTAAATGTCAGTAATCTTATTAGGATCTTATGTATTATTGCAGATTATTCACACCAGAGAGACTATTCGGTATTCTTGGAAACAGCCTATTTGCCCATCCGTTGGAAACTGGATAAAGAAGTTGTGGTTTTTCTATAAAATGGAATATTACTCAGCCATAAAGAGTGAGAGAATAGATTCATTCATAGGAAAATGGATACATATTGAAGATATACTCCTAAGTGGAATAAATAAGTCACACATGTGTAAATACCGAATAGTTTCCCTGGTGTGAATATTCTGCAACAATGCATAAATAATCTATTATTAATTTCAAAAGATATTTTATTGACATAACTATAAATTCAAGTGGTATTCTACTTTTTATAGATGTAATATTGTACATTTTTCCACGTAATTTATCTTTAACACTGAAGTGGTTCAAAATTAGCAGAAAGAGCAATATAAAAGAGGCAGTACAAATACTTATTGAGTTTACTGGTACTTTTTAAGTATACAGTAAAGTGATACTCATCATCGGGATTTTGTACCCTTACATGACAGATCCTGCTTCTCATTTTTTCCCCTTACCACTGCCCTCTCTTCACCCCCTTCTCCCTTCTCTATTTACAAATACTTAATTTCCATTTTTTCATTTTCTCATATTTTTTCTTTTCCCTTATTTCCTTTCCCCTACTCTTCCCACTTCCCCTACACCTTTAGCCCTTTTCTTCCTATTTCACATTATCCGTTATACAATTTACACTTTCAGTTTTTCACACCAGAGAAACTATTCAGTATTTACACATGTGTGTCTCATTTATTTTACTTAAGTGTATGGTGCAATGTACATGATCTTTCTTATGCATGCCTTTTCTTTGCCTTCTAGATAGAAGCCAAAAAGGAAGAGAGAGGGAGATATCCCGTTTAAAAAAAGAGTAGATTAATATAGAAGTTAATTTATAATGTACCTGAATTTTAAAACTTGTCATTGCTTCTTGTTACATTTTCTTACATATCTCACATTAATTTAATTCTTAGCATTCACTTGTATACAGAGATCATTTATATTAAAATATTTGAATAGTCTTATATGTCTGCATATATGCATATATCTGACAAATAGTATTATAGATTTGTTGACTTTAAAAACTGAGAAATTTTACATACAAGTAAATATATATATATATATATATACATACATTACATGCATTATGTACACATATTAATGTTCTCTAAAATTGCCAGCATTCTTGTTCCAAATAATATAAATATTTAGAGAATAGTAAGTCATAGAAAATATTTCAACTCATTTATGTTTCAGAATAATCATTAGGTTAAACTGAAAACCGTAATTACAAAAGGAATTTAAATTTCCATCAAATTTCTATACATACCTGAGTTTCTGTGACCCTATTATTATGTTCCATTTCATATAAAGAGATATTAAATACAAATTTGGTCCTGGACAATTTCAATGGCGATTTCAATACTTTGAAAGAAAAAGGAATATTAATATATATAAGCTCACAGATACTTCTTATACTTTTCAGAATGATATGATAAGAAAATAACGGTCTTTTACTGTTTTTATGGTTCCAGACAGAAAATAAAATTACATTTTAAAATATTTCTAAACTATTTTGGTTTTCATAAAATAAACTTCACTTTGTGATTTTTAATAGTAATAAATTACAAATAAGTGATATCACTGAGATAATAAAATATAAAATATACTGAATAGCAAGCTAAGAAAAAAGTAAATGGAGTTAAATTTAACTTGCATTCTAAAGTTTAAACAATACAAAAACAAACAGAAATGAAGAAGGAAAAATTATTGCAAAGCAGGGAAACTATATAGGTGGCATATCATATAATATTTCCCAGATGAAACAGAGGAGTGTTTCGAGAAAAAGGGTATTCAATAGAAATATAAGAATAGGTATGTCCATAAAAATAATTAATCTATTAGTAAGTTTAACAATAGTTTCTGGCCAAACATACTTAAAAACATTTCCTAGATATCTCAATTTTTAATGGAGATTAAAATGTTTTATAAGCTCTTAGGCAATTAAATATATTTGAACCAAACCAATTTAGAATTCTAAAAATGCACGTATTTACATTTATTTTTATTATATTACTTGAATTAATTGGACACTTTGTCACAAGGATAGGATTTATGTGATAGGAGAAACTTTTAGATCATGTTCTTCATTATGTTATACCCAAAACCTATCATGGGAAATCCTGGAAAAGAAAATGTTACGGAAGATATACAGAAAGTGGGACCTGTAATATGTCCCTTTTATTTGGAAATTAGAAATAAGCAGAAAAACAGATAAGCAGAAAAAGAAAATGCACTGGTTCTGTCTTTTTAAAATTATAGTATTGTTTTGGAATATTATTTCACAATTTAGAGAAATTTTTTTCAACAAGGAAAAGTTATTCTCCTTAACAGATTATTAGAGATCATTTTATGGAGGAAGTGAACCACCAGATTTTAAAGACCTTCCAACTAATATTTCGTATTACTCCACTGCTCCATATTGAAATATTCATTGATATCCTGATGGCCAGAAGATAATACAATGTTTGATACTGTAACTAGTTTTTAAATGTCTCTAACAAATACGAGTGAACAGGCAAACGATAAAAGAAATAGAAGAAATGCCTCATCATGACAAGGTGTTATAAAAGAAAAGTAATTCAGACAAAAATAGAAACAACAGGGGTGAGGGAAAAAAAGAGAAACAATGTAGTAAACAGAAAATAATGTCAAAGAAATCATTACCATATAATGAGAGAAGATATTGCTTTCATAAAAGTAAAGGCTATAAAGTAAAGGAATATTCAAAAACTATTCAGATCTCTTACAAGTTTAAAACTAAAAAAAAAATTTTTAAATGGGAGAGGGAATAGAATTTCACATTTATTAAAATCCTAGGAAGACATTTTCTTTTTTAAAGCAATTTCGGAAGTCAGAAATGGAAAGACAGATTTCATCATAATATGAATTAACATGATCCTTTTAAAAATAATTCAGAAAACAAAATCAGACAGCAATTATTTTCTCTTTATGTCATTTGGGGGGCACTAAAATACATTAACATTCTATTTTTGTTCTATTTTTTAAATTTTGAGACAGGGTCTTACTAAGTTGCCCAAACTGAGCTTGACACTGCAAACTTCCTGCCTCAGCCCCCCACAGCACTAGGATTATAGGTATGTCTGGTGATACTTTAAATAAAATTTTAAAAAATTTGAACTTCATGGACACTATACACCAATTATGCCATTTTTTTGTGACAGGGTCTCACTATGTAGTTGAGACTGATCTGGAACTCACTATGTAGCCCAGGCTGGTCTCAAACTCAGTGATCCTCCTGCCTCAGCCTCCTGAGTGCTGGAATTACGGGTGTGCACCACCAAGCCTGGCCAATTATGCTATTCTTAATTAGAGATTTTAAACGAGAATAAAATAAAATTCTATAACTTCATGACATTTGGGGAATACTTCTCATACTAGCTGTCATGCACATTTACTAACTGGTGTAACACTCATCATTTTTCTAATTGATGAAAACGATATCAAAAATACAATGCAAAACACAGTTTTGATTTCTCAATGAAAAATATTTAAAAGAGTATGACAAAAGGCAAAAGCAAAGCTTGTCAAAAGTATGGTCTACAGAGCACGTCACTTTTATACTGAATATTTGGGGAAAGTAGATAAATATTCAATAACTAACTGAAATGTTCATATAGTTAATCTTCTTTATATGTACTTAGGCCTTTAGTAGTCCATTCCTATGGGATAAAAATATTTCCTTAAACACTGTAATTAATTCATTTTATTTTTAACTTGATTTATTTTAACAAATTATGTCATCTTAATAATTTAAAAACTACCCAAAAAATAAAGTGCTAAATTAACCCGTTTTTATTCTTTCTCATTTTTTCACCTGCAAATATATCTATGCTATTAATCAACATTCAATCTCACAGATTCACAATTTAAGTGACACATAAATAAGTCATAGTAAAATTTCACTTTCTAAGATTTCTAATTTTGAAAAGTAAATGTCATTTGCTTATTTTCTTAAAATTGAAATGCTTGGATTCAAATCTTTGGCTTATCTCTATCAGTTCACTTTTATATTACATACCAGTAGCTTGAACAAAACAAGGTTGAATAAGTGGAACTGTCTTTGGCATCAAAGGTTTTCTGTTTGACAAATACTCTGTGTAGAGTTCTGAAGAACTGAATGAATTAATATGAACTTCTATGCTGAATTCATATGCTCGCACCTGAGAGACAAAAAATACATTTTATTTTAGCTTTGAAAAAAGGTGATATTAATGATTTAGCAAAACAATAATTTATAGAAAGTTTTAAATATAAAATCTTGTGACATTGAGACTCCATTTTAAAAAGTAAGATGATTTATTGTAATGAACGAAACACAATTCTAAAAAATAAAAAGTGGACACTTTATAAATAATTCCTACTCATATAAAATGAACCATCAAGCCAGGTGAGATGGAGCATGCCTATTATCCAGTTTTAGGCCAGCCTGGGTTACAGAGTGAGTTCAAAGTCAGCCTAAAATGCATAGTGAGACTCTGTTTCAAAAAAACAAAACCAAAGGAGTACCAACTCTCTAAGTATAAACCTAGAGATATAAAATATTAGAAAGAAAAAGTAGGAGAAATATATTTTTGATCCTTGTGTGCTTAGGCAAAAATCATTTTTGTTACTGAAGACTGAACCTGGAACCACACACATACCAGTCACATATTCTACCACTGTGCTACACCACCAACCCCTGGCAAAGATTTCTTAAATGCAAAAATCAAAATAATTATCTAGATGCTCAAGGTTCCAGGTTTGATCTCCACTACCAAAAAAAGAAAAGTGGCTTACATATACAGTCTGTCCAAAAGATGCATACACACTTCATAAAAAGAAGAGCTATCCATAAAAATGATGAACTCATGCACTATAAAATTAAAAACTTCTATTTTGTTAAAGGCATCTCTTAAAAAATTAAATATAAGCCAAAAGCTTTTCCAACAAAAAAAAAAAATACAATTTATATTGGTGCACGCCTGTAGTCCCAGCACTCGGGAGACTGAGGCAAGAGGATTGCTGTGAGTTTGAGCCCAGCCTGGGCTACATAGTGAGTTCCAGGTCAGTCTCAACTACATAGTGAGACCATGTCTCAAACAAACAAACAAAAAAATACAATTTATGTCCAAAATGATAGAGAAGATTTAGTGATCAAGCTGAGTGTGGTGGTGCACACCTATATTCCAAAGTACTCGGTAGGCTGAGGCAGGAGGATTGCTGTGAGGTCAAGACCAGCCTGGGCTACACAGTGAGTTCCAGAGCAGTCTGAACTGCATAGTGAGACCCTGTCTCAAAAATCCCCCCCAAAAAAGATATAGTGATCAATAAATAAAAATGAACTAGCTAATAAAAATATGGGAGAAAGATTTGAGAAGACACTCAATAAAAGATATATGCAAAATGAGACATTAGCACATGCAAAGATCCTTACAACCATTACATATTGAGAAAATATGAACTGAAATCAAAAGAAGACTTCTTCACACCTTTCATAGTTGCTTAAAAACAAGTAAAAATACTAAATGACGGTAAAGATGTGAGCATCTAAGATGCGCATACATTGTTGGTGGGAATGAAAAAAATTACAGTATTCCCATACTCACAGATGTTTTTCCACTTATTTCTTTCCCTTTAGATTCTTTCATCAATGTTTTATACTTTTCAAAGTATAAGTATTTCCTTTCCTTGGTTACAATTATTCCCAATGATTTTCTTTCATTGTAAATGAGATTAATTCTTAATTTCATTTTAGATTGTTCTTTGTTAGTAAACATAAATGCACACGCATGTTTATAGCGGCACAGTTTGTAATAGCTAAAACTTGGAAACAGCACAATTGCCCATCTGTTGGAAACCAGATAAAGAAGATGTGGTTTTTCTATAAAATGAAGCCATAAAGAATGAGAAACTAGAGTCATTCGTAGGAAAATGGATGCATATTAAGGCCATACTCTTACGTGAAATAAACAGGACACACATGTGTAAATACCAAATAGTTTCTCTGGTGTGAAAAACTAAAAATGTAAATAAGATCCAAATTGTATAAATGACCATGTGAAATAGGAAGAGGAGGGCTAAAGGTGTAGGGGAAGTGGGAAGGATGGGGAAAAGAAATAAGGGAAAAAAATACGAGAAAAGGAAAAAATGGAAACAAAGTCTTTGTAAACAGGGGAGGGTGGAGGTGGTGAGGGGAGGACAGGGGTATGGGGAAAAATGAGAACCAAGATCTGTCATGTAAAGGTACAAGATCCCAAAGATGAATGTAACTGTACTGTATACTTGTGTGTGTGTCTGTGTGTGTCTGTGTGTGTGTGTGTGTGTGTGTGTGTGTGGCTTCTTCGGGGTTTTATGACTTACCACTTCTTCTCTAAACAGTACTTTGTATTTGTTCTGAGCCAGAAAAATTAATCAACAAAAAAATATAAAAGGTTATCTAAACCAGAAAGCAAAAAGTTAAATTGTGTATGCTTTCAGATGACATGATCCTGTATGTGGAGAATGCTAAACATTCTATGTATACATATGCACATGCAACCACAGACAAAAATGTTAATATTTTAAATGTGTAAAGAACAATAATATTCAGGGCCAGGGATTTAACTCAGTGGTTCCTCCACCTGCCTTGCAAGAGCAAAGACCCGAGTTCGATCTCCAGTACCAAAAACAAAAACACTATAATATTCTAACATACCAAAAGACTCCAAAGTCAGGAAAACAATACTGCTTTCAGAGGTACATATATATCTAATGCTGTGCTATACTCATACAGTCGATGTTGACCATCAGAAAAGCTTTAAATGAAATGAAGAGCTAAATAATATAAAGGCTATACTTCCAGCTCTAATTACTTGTATTGCCCTGCTATGCAAAATACTTAGGTTTTCATTTTATTTCTATTTAAGATTAGATGGCCATACTACTGCCAATTCCATCTCTTGTACAATGTTATGCAAACAGTCTGTTCTCATAACAGATTTATAGAATCATAAAATATTGCAGTATGTGTTATTTTAATGGTCTTTTCATTTCTTTGACAAACAGAGCAAGCAACTCATTCCAATGATAATCTATTTCTGCACTGGCACCAACAAACTTTAAAGAGAAAACTGTATAAAGACATGCTATTTCATGTACAAATACAACTTGCTTTGATATTTCATGTGTAAAGAAAGATACAACACCAATTTTGCTTACTCTTATTTTTCTGGAAATTATTATTAATTTATTAATTTATTATTAATGTTTCAGTAAGCAATTAAATTTTGTCTCATTTTGATTTTTCTTCTTGTTCATGTTTTCTTCCTACAATTATTGATATACATCAATGTTTTGTATTATACATGTTTAACATTACATATAGTTGACCCTCAGCATCCATGTGGCAATGGTACCAGGATATATCTCACGACCCCTTCCCCTGTCACAGGCACAAACTCAGAAGATGCATACTCAATCCCCTTATAAAAATAGTACAGTATTTATAAACAACCTGCACACATCTTCTTGTATACTTTTAATCATGATCTTCCACACATAGAGAAATCATTCAAAAATTGAGAAGAATAGAGTGCACATTTCAGATGATTTTTCGGTAAAGAGAATAGTAAATTCACATAAAAAACTCAAAGTAGTAAGTAATTTTAGCAAAGACTATCTAGAAAAGCAAATCCAGGAAGAAGGCTGCCAGAAACCATCACTTCTAAACACATACCAAGATGTATACAAAAGGCTATAAAAAGTGCACTTTAGATAGGCATGTTTCTTCTGAGAAGATACCATAAAGCAACCTAAGAAAAACCATAGAGGAATTATGCAAGTGTAAGGATACTAGAGAGCACAGAGAGACAGAGAGAAAAAAAAAAAGGAAAGCCAGATGTGAGTGGAATCAAAGCTGATAGGAATGATAATCTATTCACAGAGATGTTCCACTTTTGGAAAATGACTGAAGTTAAGAATGAGCTCAGTCATGATGTGTTGAGTCCTGACAGTTATTGGATATTGAGTCCTGATTGTTGTTGGGTATAGTACTGGGACTCGAAGTCATGGATGATAACAGTGGAAAGCCACAGTTATTATAATTATTTAATAAGACTTTAGGTTTCATTTAAGAATGTCTAATACTGTGGAATGTTGGTGATGATGGTGGTGGTAATTATCAAGATAAATCAACATACTCATATCAGTCCTTAACTGCCACTCATTTATGAAGGCTTTTCCTTCCTACAAATATGCATTTTCTAAAATATTCTGTGGTGAATTGACAAGGAAGAGACTTTGTTTGTTTTGTAGTAATGGGGGCTGAACCCAGGGCCTTCACACTGAACTATTTCCTCTGCTTTTTTAAATTACAGTATTTTTTTTTATTTTGACACAAGTTGCCCCCCAGTTGCTAAGTTGCCTAAACTGGGCTAGAACTTGCTAGCCTCCTGTCTCAGCCTTCCAGAGAGCTATGACAACAGGCACGTGTCACCACAGCTAGCTACTTGGTTGAGGTTTAATTACCATTGTGTGTTTCTGGTACTCACAGCGGAGTTGCCATTTCTTAGTGCACATCTTCATGCACAGTTTGTATACAAGTTGTTCCCCCTTTACGGTAGCCCTATAATCTCACAGAATGAAAAGTTAGGAGGCTCAGTTATTTCTTCGTTTGAGAAAGTTTTCTTCTTTCAACAAAACTTTAAAAGTATAAGACTTATCTCTTACACAGAAACCAAGTTACAGAGAAAAAAGATCGGTCTTGTCATGAAACCACTGTGGTATACAAAGAAGAACAAAAACACGGCAATTTTTCTTGTATATGACCTTCTAAATGCTTTCGTAGATGATGTTATTCAGAAAGAAATACCTCAAATTTAAAACAAACAATCTAATGAACTAAGAATTTCAGTCCTCAGGCCACCATTGGTGGACAAAAATGCGTATAAATCAAAACAGAGCAGCTGTCATTCAAATACCTTTCTTTTATTCCTTAAGGCACTATTTATGCCTTATTGCAAGAATGGTTGTAAATCCAGAGTAACTCTTATGAAAGATTACTCAAAGGCTTGCATATCTTCAAAGAGCAAGCAAGGCTCTGTGGGAAAGAAAAAGGTAAAACTTCTCCCCTATATTCAAGAACTACAATGAAAATGGAAAGCAACCCAAATGAAAGTTACAGAGAAATGCAGAGCAACTGAAC